ATCAGTTTTGACCTTGTCGACCTACAGAATTGAGAAGTCTGAAATAATGACAACAAGTAAATAAGTACTAAGTAAAATGAAAGATAGACTACAACAAAAATTTATACAATATCATACTCAAACTATTGTTGAACACCAGTACTAATGTAGGATCAACATAAATGCCTATTAGTTCCCTTGCATGCAATAACTTAAAAATGCTATAAATATGATGAAATATACATTGTGCTACTTTTAATTATTGTGTTGCAAATAGAAAATAGCTTTTCGTCTACTTCCTGACTTTTTAATGGTGAGTAACTTATTAAAACGTTCCATTATTAAATTTAGATTATGATAATGAATAAAAATAAATTCTATGACTTTACTTACTGAGTTGACAACCGATAAACCGTCAATACGAAGTAGGTTAAACTACGTATATTGGTACCCTTATACTAATACTAGGCAGTAAATTAGAATAGATAGATGTTCCGTATTGAAACACGTTTTCCTAGTAAATACTCGTTTTCATTATAGTATTTCGACGATCCAAACAGAATAATGGGAATTTGCTTTCGTTCATGGATACCTGTTAGTGACCTTGATGAAAATGAGAAGAAATATACAGTAAATGATGTGATTCTACTTAAGCTAATGACGATACTGGCACAAAATCAACTACATTATACGTTAGCGATCAGTCGTTTATGCTGAATTCTCTTGTCCCTCGAATTATTAATAAGAACAGTAGAAATCCACCCAAATATCTGTTATTCAAACCTAAAAACTCAAGTGATTAGATATATAAAATACAACACCACATCATGTAATAAGTACTAAACTTCAAATATATGCAGAATTATTATATTTTCAGTACACGTTTGAACAACAGGTTAACAATTAATCAATTGTAATTTATGAGCCCGGAAAGGTATAACAACACTTTATAAGTTATAGATAAGCTTGTAAATTAAAGTACCATAAACGTATAGTTTAACAAATAAACAAAAATGTTTACCGATTCATTAAAAATAGCTTTCAAAGTGTTGAACCTACGAGATTAATCTTGATACTCGATACTGTGAAGCATTGCAATTTCCACGGCTCAAAATAAGAACACAAAAACAAGTACATAAGAAAATTTTACAAAACATTCAAAATGCGTTAACTTTTGGCCCCAAAATATACTCATTGATATTACAATTTCGCATAGACCTGTTGATCAGTTAATAATCACCGTATGTAGAGGAAATACACAGAATTACTACAAAATACATGCTATATGTCTTTTCAAACAAAGTTTACATTAAATTAACATGAGCAATATCATACTGAATAAACTGCGTAATGAAATAAAATCAATATTATGCTTCACGAACTATCACAATAAAAATAATCTAATAATAAACTGAGTAGTTATTACACTTAATTAAAGCAGAAATGGTGTTAAACAAAATTGACAATGAGTTAAAACTTAGTAAATCACTAAGTTTTACACCTCTAATTATCCACTTAATCCTCATGGCGGCCAAATCTAGTGAAAAAGAAAAAGGCTAGACGGTGACATTGCCTTAGCACAGTACGCTAGGTAGGTTATCCTGGAAAACAAAACTGTGCTGAAAAAATTCTGAGACCTTGATTACTAGTCACTGTGAATGAAACGATACCTGTAAACGGGATAAAAGATTTATGTAAGCTTACCGAACTGAATGGTTAGAAACCCATGTGGAAAAATGATTTCATTTCAAAGATGTATTAGTTTGCTCTTACGCCGCTGATCAATTATATGTTAAACAGAGTTTAAGGAAACAGATAAGGAGGTTAGGATATTTTACTTGACGATCCTGAAACCGGAAAATTAATTAACACAAGAAATTGTTTAACGTATAGTATTTTTATTTACAACGACCAGTCCATTAGCTAAGCAGATCATTTTCAAAACCAAATATATCCTATGGATGATTATTCCAGGAACATTTGTAGTGTCTGTCATTATGTTATGCCCAAATACCTTATTATTCTAACTTTCGGACAGCCCATTCTATTCATTCTATTTGAGTCACATTCCGATCTTGTTAATTATTCGCTTATCAATATCTTGACTGTCTTTGTATGAGCGCGTAGGCGTATGTACACTTCTTATCCCGTTACTCATCACATGTCTGTAATTTATATTTGTGGGCTTATAAATATTGATTAACTCTTTGTAAAATGGGATTTAGCTTACCAGCCATCTCCACCGCTCGCCAATTTAGCTTCGCTTTCTAATCTTCGCATCGTTCCTCCGTTCGTTTGTCTAATCAACAATTATACAAAATACATGCATTCAAAACTCCATTCTCGTTATTTGACTTATTTAATTCCGTTATTAACTAACGCGATTTAAGTCAATGATTATATACGAGGATAGACGATAGCAACCAATCATTACGATCGAATTGAAGTCAGATCACGGGCCACTAAACATTATTACCTTTAAAACGAAAATGGCTGAAATATTGGCTTTTACTTAGTCGTGTCGCATTAAACACTCTTAGATAATATTGTTTTGTACTTATTGTTAAATTTCTGTTAATATCAAGATTTATTGTGCCATATTTTTCTTAAAACATCTTCAGTGATTTGATTTAGATTCATTTTTTTTAAAATTGCATTTGTGTTTTACATCGCTACTGAAGACTAATATTTGATTACGTTTGCAGCTGAACCGTCACCACAAAAAGCACCTGTTTACTTATAATCTGGAATATAACTAGCTTATTATTGAGTTCCTTGTTTTCAGTAAAGCTTTAGCTACGTGATGACCTTAAATGATCCCATTTTGAATTTCGATTTAATCCTCTTTTTACCTAATCAACAGATGACGTTATTCAACATTGTGGATGGTAGTCAAAAGTTTTTAAACAGAAATTTCAACAAAGTTGGAAGTTTTTTATTACGGGCATCTGATGGTACGAGTACAAACTATCCATTGTCAAAAATGTAACATTCATCATATTAATTGTTGGATATATATATAACACTTTTGCAGCATTGTTTCTCTCGGTATAGGATAAATGAATATTAACATATTCTTGAATAAAGCGATAGATCTACCTAAAATGAATTGCCCTTTGGCTAGAAACGTTTTCAAACTGAATTTAATTGATTAAGTTTCAGTAATACTGCAAACTTCCATAAGTTTTAGTTGACTTAACCTCCATTTCTCCCCTTCTGCGAAAATATGGAAGATCTTTCGAATTTCATATCACGTACATTTTAAAACGTTTTATTTCAATAATGTGCACACATTTCGTAGCTTGTTGATTAAGAAGGAAATATGATTAAAGATGAAATAATATGAGCGACGAATCACTGACAAGAAAAGAGATGGAAAAGGTATTTCAAAAGAATAATAAAGTGTCATGGTGACATAGATCTGAAATTGCACTTTTAGCTAGCTTACTTTGATAAAACTAACAAGGTCAGCATTTATTTTGAGTACCTAACGACTTACTGGTTTCGGAGAGCCATTCATTACTACACAACTACATATTGTCTTATAAACCTATAAGTCGACACTGCTTTGTTTGAGGCTTTTGATAAGATAAGTACAACAGAATAAGAAACTCTGACAAATCAACTAAATTTTATATATCAGCATTTCCATGCCAGACTCAATCTAAGTTTTTTGATGGGGGTGTAATATGGGTTACAGTCACTTAAACATATTTAAATAATTTTTTTACCATTTTTCAATGGCACAGTTAAGCATTTACACATTGTAGCATACATTCTGTTATACTAAAAGCAGTTTTCTATACTAGGTGCCTAAGTGATAATATCATCATCAATGGCGAAAACAACTTTTTCATAGTGATCAAGTAACTCAAAAAATTGTGTTTTAAAGGAACAAATGTAGACTGAAAACAAACGCTGCACGCGGTAATTGGCACATCTAAGAAGTTTCAAACATCGATCTACTCAAAATAAACCATTCTGTAGGTCATAGAAATTGATGCTAACCTTATTAGTTTTACTTTACACACCCTACTTGAGGGCGCCTGGTCAAGCATCAGCATCAGATTGTGATTGAGTACACGATGCTAAGCATTTCCAACAACCAATCAGCTTGAGCCATATGTTTCATGACGCATCAACTGTTTTCCACATATATCTTTCATTCATGATTTCTGATCTGACTAGATTAAGAAACTTTAGTTACAAAGGTACTAACGACAATAGCAAAGTCAAACTCTAAATCTTTATGAAGTCTTTGGTTTATTAGAAAACTTGGAAATTTAGCTCTACGGTGATGTTTCTAGAAAACTAAAGTATACAGACGAAAATGTTTGTGCTTTGTAGTTGTAAATCTAGATTTGATTAAATAATATTTGTGCCAGTTCAAATTTTATAACTTAGTTTATTGCAATTTGGTTTTCTGATGGTAATTTCTTCATTTTTTAATAAAAAACTTTCATCCCTTATTTTTAGCATTTTAAATATAATTATGCATAATTATATTGTACTTAATATATTTTGTTTATAGGCGTAACATGAATGAAAATAGCTTATCACAATTACTACATGATATCTGTTATTGGCTAAGAGAAAATACACTATCTTTGTGTTTTCGCCTTCCTAATTAGTAGTCATGAAAAAAGCCTGATATTTCTACAGTGGTTTGCAATTTTGAGACCATTATTAATCTCATAAGACTGTTCACTACTTAGAATTACAGGGATTGTAAGAAATACATTTTATTCAAACGACGTTGATCACCAATCTGTCTGGCGTAATACTATTGATTTTTTAATCTAAATAAAGTTGATTTTTTACCCTTCACTTTTGTAGCCAACCGCATTTCACACTTAGTGCTACTCAGATTATTACGCCTATGGCTACATTTTATGTCAGTATCATTACTTTTTTAATTGAAACAAAGTGGTTATATGTTTAAATTAATCCTTAGGTTCGGCCACCACAGTTCTTGCCCAATGCCTTACTTTTTCAGGAACCCAAAGTCAGTAAACCACTCGTTACTAATGTTGCTTTTATTTCCTGCTTTAAAGGGTTATTTACACAAACATTTGATGAAATATCAAAATAAATACGTTCAAAGTCGGTATGATGTAGATGACGTTTTGTTTTGGAAACTTTCAAAAACATAAAAAATGATTTACATTTCCACACCAAACTTATCAAAATTTCTCGTTACGACATTCAAATCGAGTGTTATGTAACCCATACTTTCTGTTTGGAGCAAAAATCTATCAGTTGGATCGTAGACAATATCTGGTCTGCGAAGACGTGGACCACCACCGACCAGCCTTGACACTAAAGTGTCCAAAATAGAACCTACTGGTCTCCATGTAGGAACCGTTACCTTTTAAGTGTTATTTAAAAAATACGAATAACCTGATGATTTCCAGGAGATGTTGGAATGTGACAGAAACCGTACCCAAAGAGCTCGTTTTTACCAACCCAATCGTGATGCCAAACCTGAAAATGAAGCTTGGGCCAACCTAACAAAAAAAGTAATAAATTCTCTTTACCTTGTAAACCTTTTGTAGCGAAATGAAGGTCGATTGGATGGCAAAAGTATGCTTTCTCGCCAACCAATGGGCAGTCAACTTGTGTCTCTCCTTCAGCTAGACCTTCAAGTAACCTCCATGCACAACCTTACAAAGTATTAGCCGTCACATATTCATACCAGCTTTAAGACCCCATTTGCAGAATAAATCTTTCTGAGGGAACCCATAAGCACACAAAATTTGACCAAAGCAATGCAATTCTGCCATCTGAATTGTGTACTATGAAGTTCGATAAAATGGTAAGAGTTGCAACAGAAATTAGCCTTCTTATGAGATGCAAACGTGTAGCGACTCACTTTTAGCTTGGAATTAAGTTGGGTTCTGATAGATGGTACGAGGAAATCTAAAACAGAAGGATAAGAGAAAAATGAACCAATTACTTGGTGACCACTAAGAATAAACTCAAATTTATTAATGGAAACAACCGACAACAGATAGCAATAAAACGAGCACAAGTTGAAGACAATCTGAAAACCGAAACTACTGGCTGGTGTTATAGAATTCCGAACGAGCTTCAACTGACAAATTTAAAAGATGTCCTAGCAACTCGTGTCGTTAGTGAAATAGTAAAACTGACAGGCCTCCACATTTCATGATTTCCAATGACAGGCAAGATCCAAACCTTTATTTCTGAGTACGTTTGTCAAACATGAAAAAGTAAATAAATACTAATGGGATTATTTATTCTCTTCATACTTCAAACATAGGAAAATTTGGATTCGCATTTGGTTTCTTCTGGCAATTAAACAGTGAGAAGAAATGGGTTAATAATAGAAGTAATAGAAACGTGATATATGTAGTAATCTCCCTTAATATATAAGATAGGGAATCTATTACCGAGCCTCCTTTTGAAAGATTTGTAGTGACCTACTTTTGTCAACAGAACGCGATTGGTTCAATGAAAACAATTATTATTATAACCAATTGTACCAGTGACTGTTTTACTGTGCTCGTTTGTTTAACTGTGCTAATAACAGCCATTTTAGTCTTCCATTGTATTCCGTTGCTTTTACGCGGTTTTTGGACTACGCACGTATCTTATCTTGCCGTTCGCAACTGTACTCCTTTGGCACGATCTCGGTATTCTTTCGATACCACGAGATTGCCAACAAATATATACGACTACTACAATCATCTGCCTTCTGATATTTTGGCCTACCGGGATTTTATTGGTCTATTGGCAAGTAGTCTGGTAGCGGTGTTCATAGTTCAGCTCAACTCGACACCACGCTACATTTGGTTAGCCAAATTTTGGAACACGCCTCAACTTCGGTCAAATCTTCTGCAACTGGCGAACCTACATCTACGACCACTTGGCAATCGCAACCAAACCTTCCAAAGAAGTCAATTTTGGTGAGTCTATCGCTTATCTATCCACGTCTGTCATATATTTTCATATTAATTTTTAACATATAATATATTTGACATGACGGATAACGATAAGAATAATATTAACGTAATAGACTCTGACGTACAGGTTATACACTTTCGACCTGTATCTTTTATTCCCCACGATCCCGAAGTTTGGTTTGCTGCTATAGAGTCTCAATTTGAGACCCGTCATATTACAAGCCAACGGCAGAAGTACACTTACGCTCTCGAATGTTTACCGGGAGACCATTTAGTAGCTGTCCGTGAGGTTATCCTCAATTCCAATGTGCCCAATGTTTACGATCGTCTCAAGGAGGCGGTCCTCAGACATTTCCTTCCATCGAGGGAGGAACGATTGAGGACGTTATTAGCACGTCACCCCCTGGGTGATGCTAAACCGAGCCACCACCTCACGCGCCTGCAATCTCTTGCAGGACCCACGGCAGCCGATTCTGAAATCGTTAAAGAACTGTGGCTCGAATCTCTACCAGCATTTATCCAACCTACAGTTACGGCCCTGCTCGAGGACGCACCACTGAAACAGGTAGCCCTCACAGCAGACAAAATTCTAGCTAGGACTGGCAATCGAGACAACTACGTAGTTGCCTCAACGTCGCGTCCGAAAGTCGATATCGACGGCAGCCACTCCTCGGCTCAAGGTGACATGGAAGGGTGTATTCATACACGTCTTAGTTTTCGAGACCGTTGTAACGTACCCCAACCCTACGTCCCTCGAGTCCGCTCACGCTCTCGAAAAGCCGTCAACACTCGCCCAACGAGGGCATCTTCCAAGCCACGCCAAAAGGCGGCTTCGGAAGCGAGTGCAGGTTGGTGCTGGTTTCATCGATCCTTCGGATCTGGTGCCCGCCGTTGTCGAGCCCCGTGCTCATACAAGGCGGGAAACTCCAAAGCCGGCGAGTAAAAGCGGCCGTACTCGCCGGCCCTGCCCCCCAGGTTGGCCGTTTATTTTACGTGCACGATTATCGCACAAACGCTAGGTACCTAGTGGATACAGGTGCCCAAGTTTCTGTCGTACCACGAGGTATCATCAAGTCACAAGCTACAATGCTTCGACTACGCGCTGCAAATGGCTCAGCCATTCCTACCTACGGTACACGACAACTCGCGGTCAACCTGGGCAACCGACGACGGTATCTGTGGACGTTCATCATTGCTGATGTTCCCACAGCCATACTAGGTATTGATTTCCTACAGCACTATGAATTGCTAGTCGATTCACGTAGGCTGCAGCTAATCGATACTTCGTCGAACAGTAAATTCTTGGGCTTTAAAGCTCACACAAACGCGTACCGAATCCTCGGCACTTTTTATTCGCGTGACGATAAATTCCACGCCTTATTCGAGAAATTCCCCAGATTAACTAAACCATTCGAGGAGATTTCATCGGTGACCAATCGTGTGGTACACCACATAGTCACCCGCGGACCACCAGTCACGGCAAGACCACGCCGACTGGCACCGGACAAATTAGCTTTCGCTAAACGTGAGTTTGACAATTTACTATCTTCTGGTATTATTCGTCCTTCTCACAGTCCTTGGGCCTCTCCTTAACACATGGTGCGCAAAAAAAATGGGGTTAGTTGGAGACCTTGCGGCGACTACCGAGCATTAAACGTAGTTACGCGCTTTGATAGCTACCCCATCTCCCACATACACGACATCACGGCATCGCTCAAGGGCACGACTATCTTTTCTAAAATCGATCTGGTACGAGCATATCACCAGATCCCAGTCGCTCTTGAAGACATCGAGAAAACTGCTATCACGACTCCTTTCGGTCTGTTTGAGTTCCTACGAATGCCATTTGGATTACGGAATGCTGCTCAAACTTTTCAAAGGTTTATCGATAGCATAGTACGAGACTTGGATTTTGTTCACGTCTATATTGATGACCTGCTGATCGCATCATCAAACGTAGATGAACATTATCAACACCTTACGCTATTATTCCAACGTCTTTCGGATAATGGAATAGTAGTCAACCCAGAGAAATGTGAGTTGGGTAAATCAGAAATAATATTTCTGGGTCACATCATCAGACGAGAGGGTATTCTGCCTTGCGAGGACAAAGTTCGAGCAATCAAGGAGTACAACGTGCCGTCCTCACTCAAGGAACTGAAGGCTTTTCTCGGTTTGGTTAACTTCTACCGACGTTTCATCCCTCACGCGGCAGAACGGTTACGACCATTAACCGATTTACTACGCGGTAATCCACGCAAATTAGAATTGAACGATACCGCACGTACTGCATTCTCAGAGATCAAAACGGCTCTCGCTGAAGTTACACTTCTCGCTCATCCTGACCAATCAGCCACGCTTAGTATAGCGGTTGATGCATCAGATTTCGCTATAGGAGCCGTTATGCAACAGAATATCTCCGGTAGTTGGCAACCGCTTGAATTTTACTCACGACGCCTTACTCCCACGGAGACGAGATATAGCGCTTTTGGTCGCGAGCTGCTTGCAGCCTACTGCGCCATCAAACATTTCCGGCACGCAGTAGAAGGACGTCAATTCATTTATTCACCGACCATAAGCCCTTAACGTATGCCCTGCATACCAAGTCTGACCGCTACTCACCACGAGAGTGCAGACATTTGGACTATATCTCACAGTTCACGACAGACCTTCGTCACATTAAAGGCGAGTCGAACTATGTTGCCGATGCTCTTTCACGTATCCAGACGAATGCAGTTACTTACCGGTGCTCGATCTTCCTGCTATGGCCGCCGCACAAGCAAACGATCCTGTCTGTACAGAAGCACCACAATCTTCGTCCCTTCAGTGTCAGGAAGTAGCCCTAGCTACTAGCTCAGGTACTATCCTATGTGATATTTCTACCGGTCTTCCTCGACCCATCGTACCCTCTACCTATCGCCGTCTCGTCTTCGATGCCCTTCATGGATTGTCTCATCCAGGTATCGCAGCCACATTACGTCTCATTGCTGCACGATACGTCTGGCCGTCCATGAATAAAGATGTTCGTATGTGGGTAAAGCAATGCTTAAAGTGTCAACGATCAAAAGTGCACAGGCACGTAGCTGCCCCCATTGACACGTTCGCTATGCTTGATGCTTGCTTTGATCACGTTCATATAGACATTGTAGGACCATTGCCACCATCGCATGGGTATGATCACGTACTCACGTGCATTGACCGTTTTACAAGATGGCCCGAAGCTATTCCCATCACGTCTATCACGGCGGAGACAATTGCTCACCGCTTCGTAGAACGATGGATAGCATTGTACGGTTGTCCCTCGACTGTCACGACTGACCGAGGACAACAATTTGAGTCCGCATTATTCTCCTCACTGACCCGGCTGCTTGGTACGGAACGCATACGCACCACCGCCTACCATCCAGCATCGAATGGTTTAGTCGAAAGGTTTCACCGGCAACTTAAAAGTGCTCTCCGAGCACACGAAAACGACAATTGGTACGAAACCTTACCGCTCGTTCTCTTAGGCATCAGAACGAGTTTGAAGGCAGATATCCAATGTTCCGCCGCTGAACTTGTATACGGCACGACATTGCGTCTGCCTGGGGAATTCTTCACACCACGGAGCAGTAATGATTTCGGTAAATCAGACTACGTCCATCGACTGTCTGCATTTATGCGAACGCTGTCTCCGGTGTCAACTCGAATACAACATCGACAGGTCGCTCTCCCTCGAGAGTTATCTACCTGTTCACATGTTTTCATACGAGTAGATTCGGTACGCAAACCTTTGCAACAGCCTTACGAAGGCCCTTTTCACGTGATCTCTCGTCACGAAAAGACCTTCAAGGTTGATCGACACGGCCGCGTCGAGATCGTCAGCATTGATCGTCTCAAACCAGCACACGTCGATGACAGTGCCCTACCCGATAACTTGAGACTCAATGCTAGACCTATCAAACCTTCTAGCGGGATCTCTACGTCTACCTCGGATCCCACGCTAGATATATCAGAGACCTCGTTCTCACGTCCCGGTCAACAGCACGCGTCATCTGCACCATCTACGGACGAGACTTCCGTCTCACGTCCAGATCGGCAGACCACGCCGCCCTTGACCTCGGATGAGATCGCAGGCTCACGAAGTACGAACGAGACCACCGTCTCACGTTCCGGTCGCCGAGTACGATTACCCGTACGCTTTCGCGACTAAACGCA